ACTCAGTGCTGCCCAAAACAGATTCCAGGACTTGAGAAAACCCAGGCGCGACACAAATTTAGCAATTCCCGACCGAAACTAACCAAAATTGGCAGTTTTTTACGGGCGCGACCCAATTTTAGCAACTTTCAGCCGGTCTGACTAAAACTTGGCAATTCCAGACCAGCGAGACCAAACTTTAGCTTTTCTAGACAGTAGCGACCTAAACTTGGCAACTCCACAGACCAGCCAGACGCAAACTTGACATTTCCAGACCAGCGTGACCCAAATTTGGTAATTTAAGACTGGAGCGGAATTATATCGGCATTTCAAAACCGGTGCAAGCAAATCTTGGCAATTCAGGATTGACGCAAATGAAAAAAATTTCTGTCAAATAAATAAAAGTCACCATTTTAAAATGCAGGTTATTATTTTTTCTACAAAAGATCTACTGATGTTTTTATATGGGACTGTAACTTATTTGTTTTTCAGCTGTTTTGATCAAATTGAATTAAAAATAGCGAAAAGCAGTGAATACTGAAGAAAACACATTTTTTTCGTGTAATGTTTTCAAAATGGTTAGGGCACCAGTGATGATGCATAAAAATTAATTGAACACTGAAACTTAGGTAATTGCTTTTTTGTTTAAAAAATTATAACTCGGACATACAAAAAGTCTATTCAGCTAGGAAACTCCTTTTGCTGATCATATGTATAAATTCGATTCTAATTTTCACTTTCTCCAAAATGAGCATAATAAAGACAGCTTTTTTTAAAGGTCTTTTTTGATACAACTGTGATATTTGGGTCCCTTAAAACTGGATGGATCCTTGAAGAAAATCTTTAGGCCTTAAAATCTTCGAAAACATGAATCGCATCGGTTAACTTGTTTTTTAAAATAATTTTACAAAAATTCAGGGACCCATCTGTCATACTTACGTTTTCCTGGGAGCCATCTATCGTATGTTCACTTTGTCAAAAAATGTCGAAATGCTGGCCATATAATTACATATTACGAACAATTTGGAAAACACAAGAAACGGTTTGCTATGTTTAGAATAGCATCTTGACTACATCGGCCTAATGCACAGACATTGAAACTCCAGCCAACTGCTTCGAGTATTTGATTTTCCATGATCTAAAATGATAGAAAAACTGTTCAAGAATTTGTTTGTTCTTTTTATTACTCAAGTTTGCGTTTCAACTCCACATAGGTCACAAGACCGGCTCCACCTAATTTTAGCAATTACCGATCAATGCTAACCAAGTTTTGTTATTCCAGACCAGCGCTATCAAACCTTAACCTTTCCAGACAGTAGCCACACAAGTTTGCTAGCTCCAGATCAGCGCGACACGACCAGTGCCACACTGGAGTAAAATTACATCGGTATTTTGAAACTGGTGCAAACAAATCCTGGCAATTCGGGATCGACGCGACTTTAAAAAATCATCGCGACCTTAAAACCGCAACACGCAATTTTTTCACGAAGTCGTTTGTTAGGTCGTGCGGCAGCCAAGCATCGTTTCAGATGTCCCGCGCGAGAGCATTAACTAATTTCACGCGTCCTGTTTTTTTTAAATAGTTACGCGAAAAATTTTCCTACGTCGCACCACCTATTTTTTTTATGCATGGCCGAGACTCAACGATTTTTTTGAGTCGCGCCGCTTAAGTCTTTTCTTAAGACAATTTTTCAAAATCGCACAACAATTGTTTTCTTATATCACGACGCCAAGGTTTTTTCTTAAAACGCGTCGCGGCTAGGGGTAGTTCGTTTTTGAAGTCGCACCTCAAAAATTTTTTCTATTGTTCTTCCGCTAGTCTTTTTTTAAATTTTACCGCCAAAACGGTTTCTGAGTCGCTCCGCCATTTTTTAAGCAGCGCCGCTAAAGTCTTTTTTTTGTGTCGCTGCCCGACACTTCATGCTCAAAGCTTAAACCTAGCCGAAGCTCAGGGTCTTTTTTTAAAACATTGGCCGCGCGACCCAAAAACCGTAGCAAATAGTGTGACATAAGAAAATGGCTCGACCGGTGCGAAGGAACACAACACTCAAGCCAAAAGGGTTTCTGAGTCGCCCCACTAAAGTCTTTTCTTGACTCGTTTCCTTAGAATTCATATTCAAAGTTTAATCCTAGCCGTAGCTCAAATTCTTTTCTGAAGATTCTGACAGTTGTCCAAAAGCCGTAACAAAAAGCACGACGTAAGAAAATGGAGCGACGAAATGAAAACCAATCTTTTCCCAAAACGCACAGCGAAATAGGGTTGTTTCTCAAGTCGCGCGGAAAAACTTTTTACTTTTGTCCTAGTCTTATCTTACGCCAGTCTTATCTTAAATCGTAACGCCAAAACGGTTTCTGAGTCGTGCCTTCAGTTTTTCTTAGATCGTACCACAACCATGTTTTCTTAAGTCAAGTCAAGGGTCAAAGTATTTTCATGAGTCGCACTGCCAATTTTTAATATGAAGCGCCGCCAAAGTTTTTACTTAGTTTGCGCTACCAGTTTTTTCTAGAGTCACGTGGCGAAAAACATTCTTTGAGTCTCGTCACTAGGATCAGTCTGAATTCTAGCCGCACTGGAAGTTTTTTCCCGAGGCTTCGAAAGCGTGACGACCCAAAAAACCGTAGCATAAAGAACAAATTTTTGAATGCTGCAACCGGTGCGATAATAAAAAATGTCACGACAGGCGTGACAATAGAAAATGACGCGATTAGCGCAACTAACAATTGGAAAATCTAGACGGGCGTAAAAGCAGATTTTTAATTCAGTCGAGCCGAGGCTAAGAGTCTTTTCTGAGGTCGGTCGCGCCGCAAAAGTTGTCACCACTATTGCGCCCAGAGACTTTTCTTAAATCGAGCTGCCAAAAGTGTATCTGAATACGGGCCGCCCGTTTTTTCTTAAGTCTTCCCGCAAAAAATTATTTCCTAAATCGCGCCATCTGATTTTTTTGAAGTCGAGCCGAGACTCAAATTATTTTGTTGAGTCGCGCCGCCAAAGTTCTTGTCTTGAGTTTTCTTTAAAATGTTGGCCGCGCTACCCCATGAGTCGTTGCAAAAAGCGAGTCACAGGAAAATAGCGCGACCTGTGCAAAAAAAAACACCAAAATCTCAAAACGAACAACTAAAGTAATATAAAGAAAAACTCATTTTCTTCGAAACGCGCCGCGGCTGAGTGTATTTTCAAGTCTTGATGCGGATGAGCGTAGTTTCCCATAGCTTTGCCGTTTCCCTAGTCTTTATGCTCAAAAGTTAATCCTAGCCGTAGTTCAAATTCTGTTCTTAAGATTCTATCCGCGGGACCCAAAAACCGTAGCAAAAAGGGCGACATACGAAAATGGTGCGATGAAACAAAAAACACAATGTATTTTGTTAAAATGCGCTGCGGCTAAGGGTTGTGTCTGATGTCATTCACTCAAGGGTTAGATCGTCGCGCCGATGAAGTCTTTACTATTGTCCTAGTCTTATCTTATGCCCGTCTATCTTAATTCGTACCGCCAAAACGGTTTCCGAGTCGTGCCTTCAGTTTTTCTTAGATCGTACCACCACCATGTTTTCTTAAGTCAAGCCAAGAGTCAAAGCCTTTTCTTGAGTCGCACTGCCAATTTTTTTCTTAAGATACCTTGCAAATTTTTTTTATACATAGTTTGCGCTACCACTGTTTTCTAAAGTCACGTGGCGAAAATCTTTTCTCGAGTCTCGCCTTTAGATTTCAGGCATGAAATCTAACCGCACTTGAAGTTTCTTCCTAAGGCTTTGATCGCGTGACAAAAAAAACTGTAGGATAAAGCGCAACGTATGAAAAGCCGCACCGTGGCGAAATTTAAAAATGGCACAACAAGTGTGACAAAAGATAATGACGCGATTAGCGCAATTGATAATCGGAAAATCTAAACCGGCGCAAAGTGAGAAGTCTTTTATTCAGTCGCGCCCCGGCTAAGGGTCGTTTCTGGAGACGTGTCGCAATATTTTCCTCCATATCGCGCCCAGATTTTCTTCTTAAAACGAACTGCCAAAGTTTTGTCTGAAAACGCGTTAATTTTTTTAAGTCTTTCCGCCAATTTTTCCTGAAGCGTGTCATCTGAGTTTTCTTAAGTAGGACCGAAGCTCAAAATTTTTTCTTTGGTCGCGCCACTACACTCCATGCTTAAACCTAACCGCAGCTTAAAGTCTTTTCCTAAAACTTTGGCCGTGCTATCCCATGAAATGTTGCAAAAAGCGAGTCGTAAGAAAATAACGCGACCAGTGTGACAAAACAAAAACCCAAAGTACAAAACAAACACGCAAGAAAAAAAAACGAAAAACTCATTTTTTTTCCATGCGCTTCACCATGCGCGTCTAATAATGTTTTTGCGGTGCAACTTTTAAAAAAACACACTCTGCCCCCCCCCCCCCCCCCCGCTTCTCAAGATATAAGCTTGGATCGTCTTAGGATACGATTTTGGCGATGCGACTTAAAATATGAATTCGACAAGACAAGACTGTGACAACGCGTTTCAAAAACGGTTTTAGCGGCATAATTTACGACGAGACTTTGGCGGCGCGACTTAAGAGAATACTCTGGCAGCGCGACTCATAATACGACTTCGGCGGTGCACCATAAAATCAAACATTGGTGGCGTGATTTGAGGTAGGACTTTGGCGGCGCTATTCAAGTTAAAAATGTGGCGGCGCGACCCAAGATTGGTTTTGACGAAGCTTTTTAAGAAAAAATACTTTGGCCACGCGACTCGAGATAGTAATTTGGGCGTGCGACTAAGATAAAACATTGGCTGCGGACTTCTGGAAAGGTGTTGACAAAATTTCCTGCAACAAAACTCAAAATACATTTTGCAACCAAAAGGGAATCTTAGTTTTCTTGAAGCATTTCCGAGATAAAAGCAGTTTCAGAAATTTTGAGCTGCTTTAATTTTTTATATCTTTACGAAGAGATGTGTCCAAGAGATGAATCATAAGTTGTAAATATGCTCAAAAAGAGCAAAAGGATGAACTTTTAATGTCAATCCCTGATTTTCCCATGTCAATTAAAATTCACTTTGGACAACTCTAAAGTTAAGTTTTTTAAATTTTGAACAGCTATATCACCAAGAGTTCTCATATATAACGACTTTACCCAATATATAAATATAAAATATTTCATTTTTTCTAGAAATTAAATCTGCCAATCTGTTTTCACGGATAAAATTAGATATCTTTTTCACTAAATTTCTCCTCGCAGTCTTTTTGTCTTACGCGACTGAAGTGTCCCACTTGCGCCTGGTTGAACTCCAGTTTTCGTTTCAGTAGTGTTACCTCACAGATCGAGTTAACTTCTTTTTCTTATCGTAGTCAAGTCAAATTGAAATAAAACTTTTCGGCCTGCTTTTTTTCTTTTTCTTTTTTTAAAATGGAGTGTTTATTGGGCTTTAAATGAAACTGAACGACCTAAAAATGTAGTGTCACCTCACAAATCGAGTTAACTTTTTTTCTTATCGTCGAGTCAAATTGAAAAGTAACTTTAGATATATTTTGGGCCTGCTTTTTTGAAAAAAAAGTAATGTTTTTTGGGCTTTAGCGTGACAGCTAAAATCAAATTGAACGACCTAAAAATGTGTGATGTGTAAAAATGTATGAAACACTATGCTCGACAATCACTGGAGACATGGTAAATCTATGTTTCAATTGGTAAACTCGAGGTTACTGGTTCGAGTCTCAGATGGCGAGAACAGCCAAAAATACCCACCATTTACACACACCGTCAAAATCAAGAAAAACTACTGGTTTTGCCATAATGAGCCGAACAATTTATTTGCTCATTTAAAAAAATTTATTATTTTTGCATCAGTTTGGAAAAGGGATGGGCAGTCATTGAAGTTTTTACAATTGTAAATTATTTGTAAATTAGGCGATCACCGTCAAATGTATGGTGCTATGCATTTTTTTTCTAGCACGGATAATTCGGGTTTTAAGGCCGCGCATAGACAGCCTTCCCATTGTTTTGATCATTCAAAATCTCGCGGCGGAAAAAAATGACTTTTTGCGTTCAAGAAAACGGCTCTTTTTCCTCCCCTTCCCTCCCCCACCTGCGAATGTTTTCTCAGTTCACCCAGAAATTCCTTTAAAAAAAACTTAATCTGGCCAGTGTAAGGAGATGAGGGGAATATTATCCGGTTTTTGGTTCAGTTAGGAGGATGTTAACTCGATCATCAGCTGTATGACCTTGTCGTGATCCAGGGTCCTATTTCTGGCTAGTATCCAGGCAAAGTTGGAGGTCAGGAAGTAGTTGTAGTTGCAGTAGTACAACAGGCAAGATTCCTCGTCCAGGTGAAGAACGTGGAAGTTTGGACTAAAAAAAAGATAATTCTGTCGCCAAACAAATGATCCAATCCATGAAAAATTAGACGTGGAGTATACTTGGTTCTTGATACTATATCTGAAAGGTTCATGTCAAGAACCCAGTGGCGTGAGCAGTAGTATTTTGAAAACAAAAAGAAAACAAAAAATTGACAAAAAGCTTGATTTTTATTGCTATGCCTTTTTTGACACCTCTTCTTCAAATTTAGTGTGTAATGTGTAATGTGGCGCCTAAGACACCTTTCCAATATTTATGTCAACGGTTACCCAAAAATGGGTGCAACAATTGGGCATAATGAAATGAGGGGAAGGGGAGGTCAGCAATGCCCCCCCCTCCTCAGCAGGCCATTGTAAGAATCATTAAATTATGTGTTGTATATCCGAATCAAGTAGTGTACGTTTCAGATAGAGAATGTACCAAATTAATCTTTCAAGTATAGCATGAGAGTGAGAGTTAGAGGTCACACCTAGGATGACAGACGGCGCCATTGGCCGGTACCTGCCGGTATTTAATTAGCACTGATGGATTGACAGATGATTGACAGTACCGATTGAATAAACTTGTGTGAACTGAAATAGCATTCTATGTCAATTATTTCTTTTCTTGTGAAAAATAAAAGAAACTTTAAATAAATGAATGATGATGACTGAATTTTTAAGGACACGAAATTTAACTTGATTGATCTGGACATTGCTTCCTGATTTCATTTCAGATTGTTTTAGCATGACTAAAACTATCAACAAATAGCGATACGAAATTGAGTTTTTAATCAACTACCAGCTTTCTCCTCTCTGGGCCCTAAATTTTAGAACAGAAATGTGTTTAGTTTTCGTTTTCCTCCTTTCTTTTCCCTTCTTTTTCGATATTTGGTGAATCATGACCCTGACGATCTTTGTGGCTGCGGGTCGCTTCCGCCCGGTTTTTCTGACGAAAATTCGTCTTAGCTGCTGTTCGAGTCTTGGCTGCTACAGGAGAATAATCGTTGTTTTGTCCGGATTTCTTTGTTTCGGCCGCTGGAGTTGCTATGTGTACATGTTACTCGCCGTGGTTTCCATTTCTACGCTTCGCTTCGTGTTCTCTGCTCTTTCGGTTCGTATTCTACTCGCTCCATCGTCTCCTTTTGCCCTTCTAGCTCGGCGGTCGGTTTCACTGTAGGGCTGCTGCTCCATTCTGCACTTATACTTTTTGTTGCCAGGAGAATCTTCTCGCAAATGTTTTCGCTCTCCGATTTGCTTTATGCCTCGAATCTTGAACTCAGTTTGCTCGTGGTTTTATTTTTCGGTCCTTATTTGCTTCCTTTGAGTTGTTTCCTTTTCAGATCACGTGGAGTAGGTGGTTATGCCAGCCCCGCTGGTGCCTTGATCTTATTAAATTTTTTCACCACCAACTTCCTGAGTACAATGCCGTTTTCTAGAATTAGTGTGTCTGCACTTTCAAATTTTGATTCAGACACAATTTGTTTTAGACCTCCTCAGATTCCGGTCTCCGGTACGTTGATAAAGTTGGCCTGAAGTCCCTGGTAGAGTATCTGCGCTCGATGCTTGCTTCCGAGATATAGTTTCGTCCCCCTGGTTCAGTGTGTGTCCCTCAGTTAGCTTCCGTGGATGGCTTTGATTCTTAATGCCGTCCATTAGATCCGATCGAACTCCGAATTTGGCGGGTTTGGCAAGTCCTGTGCTGCAGAGTCGTTATCATTTAAAAAGCAAAATTGTTATTCTAGTACCCGTGCCCATTTCAGATTTTGCAACAAGTGTTGTTTGTAGAGCTCCGCAGAACTGTATTTGCCTCGCGTTTGGGGAGACTTTGATAGCCAAATTAGCTGAAAACCGTAAAGCTTCTAGGGCACTCTCAATCATTTTCTCCAAAAGGATTTCGGTTTTTTTCTTTCCTGAATCCTAATGTCGAGTTTTTAAGACTGCCTATGAACCGCTCGATGCAACCTGATGCACGTTAATCATTGACCGGTAATTTAACAATTTCAATTCCTTCGCCGATGCGAAACGCTTTACCTTCATTTGACATAAAATTCGTCCCTCGGTCAATATGAGCCCTGCGGGGAACTCCGTGGGTGATTTCATTCGTTTTTTTGAACTTTTGCAAATCTCCGATCTTTTGTTTCCGAGCACTATAGCCGACGACAAACGCAAAAAACGGTCTACCGCAGCAAGAAAACTAATTTTTGGTTCATTCAGATAAATATTCGATTGCCAAAAATTGAGTTGAGCAGGATTATTTGTCTCTTTTGGCTCGGTTAGTTCGTCATCTTTTTTTTCTGAATTAAAGACTTGAGATTCTTAACGGAGGCTGTTAATCTGACGAATTTCTCTGCAATTGACGCATTTGTCGGGTAATTTAGGGGTAATGAATGTCTTTGGCGGCTTGGAACTAATTTTGGTTTTGCATGATGGTAAAATTGAATGCGATTGTTTTTTGTTGTATGTACCGGTGAATTTACCGCCTTTTCGAGAACAATGGCACTGTAGATTTGTTTTCGCCGGTAGGTGAGGTCCATAGTAGAAAAAATTCTCCCGGGTTTCTTTTCGCTGATCAAATGGCTTCTGTTTCCATCAATTCTTCTATATTCGAAATATACTTCTATATTCAAAATTCTTCTAACGAAAAATTTATCTGAACATTCTTCTAACTTTTCGATATGTCCTCGTTTTGGTTGTTTTGCAATTTTGCCATCGACTCTGTCAAGCAGCGCTATATGCACCCTTCTGCCTTGGTGTTGCACCGGGACTATTTTGGAAAAGATTTCTGTCTGTACCTTATGTTTTCTTACTTTTCTACCCTATGAAAAATATTTGAAAATTGCTCAATAAAGTTTTCCTGCCACGCGCTCAGTGTTATCTCCGGCTCGCAGATTGCATTCTGCTCTCCAGACATCATTTCTCGTCTTGGTTTCTGTTGGACTAGCTGGAGACCCAAATTGGCCATTAGGTTCCATTCATACAGTCCCAGCGGGCTCCCTCCGATGAACCTGATCCTCGCCATTGTCTCCCATCCATTTGTTTCGAGGACGACTTTCATTCTCCTCATTAATTTTAACTGATTAATTTCACAGTCTCAGAACTCATTATCCTCTAGCGTCAACGCCTGTAGATTCGAATTATTCGCACCGAGGGTGCTTTTCAATTATCCGGTGTCTATCCACACACGTGCGGCCTTCCCGTTTGTGATCCGCTGTCTATCCACACACATGTGGTTTTCCCGTTTGGGCAGTTGAGCTCCAGTGACATTCAGTACTCTGCACCGTTTTGACGGGACTGACATAACCAGATAGTCACCCGAACTAACCGATTCCCCTGAGTGTGATGACGTATCTGCTGTGTTTACGCATCCAACTGAACTCCCGTGCTGGAACATTTAATACTTTGATGCCCTCTGTGGTGTGCTTGTTTGCTTCTGCCGATTTTTGCCGGTTTTTTCTACAATAATTGCATGTTACCCCTTTCGCTGGGCACTTTGTGATGTGAATCAGGGTTAGTCCAGATTGATCACAGGAATATTATCGCTTGTTTGCAGAGTTGTTTCCACCTCGGTTAAATCCGCGCCCAGGATGTGGTCCACTGCCGCGTGATCGGTTTTTTCGGTAACCCCCAGATGACTACCACTGGTTCATTTTTGATCTGAAGGCCACCACCCGATGAGCAGTTCTTGCCGGCAGTTGTTGAAACATAGGATTTGGAACATTTGTCCCCCGCTTGTACGACAAAACGAGCCTATACACTTCCTCGTCCTTTCTGACGACCGGCACAGCTCATTCTGAGCTTCACGGCTGTTCATGTTTACTATGAAGACATCCCTCAGTATGCGTACCTCTAGTGTACCAAAGTCACATACTGCGACCAACTCGCTCATTACTGAGCGGAATTGCTCGAGAAACTCGTTGATGTGTTGCTGGAGACAGTGGTTAGAAAATTTCAAACCTTTTGTTTATTTCTTTCTTGCATTCTGAAATTCCACCTCTTTTGCGCCTATGACCTGTGGATATCTCGTCACCCCCCAGATCCAGATGCGGCCGCTTGTTGTGTAACTCGTCTTGACTTTTTCCCCCAGCTAGAGATAGAAATCGATATTAACATTTGTTCGCCTTCGAATCGGTTTTTTCCGTTCACATTCGCTGCCAATTTCCCAATCTGTGTCGCTGTAAGCGTTCAGCCGTAGTAATAGTGTTTGAAGTTTATTCCAAGTTTGGCGAACTGATTCCGGTTATTCCAAGTGCTCTTTCCTCCATTTGATTCTGTTGGGTCTGTTGGAGTTTTCTCCCATTTAGCACGTGGAATTTTCCCCCATTTGGTTCTGTTGGATATGTTGGCTGCGCTATGTGGAAAATTCGAATCAAAAAGTGTAAATTTCAGATAGAAATACCAACTTATCTTTTCAAAGTTTAGCATGAGAGTGAGAATTAGAGGTCAGACCAAGGGTGACAGACAAAAAATAGAAACAAAAATTATGTCTACATTTCTTAGATCAACTAATTTAAGTTTTGTTGCTACGACTTTTTTGACAATTCTTCCTCAAATTTAGTTTATATTGTGGCGCCTTCCAATATTTATATGAGCGCTTACCCAAAAATGGTGTAAAAACCGGGGAACATGAAATGAGGGGAAGGGGAGGCCAGCAATGCCCCCCCTCTTCAGCAGGCCTTTTTTAGAATCATTAAATTATGTTTTGTATATCCGATTCAAGTGGTGTAAGTTTCAGATAGAGAATGTGCCAAATTAATCTTTCAAGTATAGCATGAGAGTGAGAGTTAGAGGTCACACCTAGGATGACAGACGGCGCCATTGGCCGGTACCTGCCGGTATTTAATTAGCACCGATGGATTGACAAATGGTTGACAGTACCGGTTGAATAATTTTCCCTCTTTTCCTTCCGCCCCCACAACCCCCCACCTCCCCCCACCCCACACGAGCCAGAATTTTTTGATGTATCGAGTGGTTTTACGAGGTTGATAAAAAGAGTAAACCAGATTGGTTTGTTTTGGTCTAGTTAGTCTGCATGCCAATTTTCATAACAACTGGACAATGTGATCAATTGTAAGAACTTGCAGGTGGAGGGGGGGCGAGAGTCTGATAACTTTTAAAATGTCTGGCCGAGGTTAATATTGCGTCGATGGTTTTTTTATGTGATTGCGCGTACCTGTCTTCATATGGAACTTTGTCACCCGGATACTCCACTACAAATGCCCCGTGGGGGGACTGGGAAAGAGAGGGAATCTGGAGACCGTTGATGACTGTACTCCGAACTGCAGATGATGGGAAGATTTGAGATCTGTTCATTCGCAGTCGCATTCCTAATTTGGTAAACAAATTATTATGCATCAAGTTAAAAATCAACCCTTTGCGCCATTTAAAAGGAACTTGTTTTTAGGTAGGTAGGATGGTGCGAACCATTTGACCTCAAACTTTTTGATGGCATTTTTGGTTGCGTTTGATAGCACTGAAAATAAAACAGTGTCGAAGACAAAAGGAAAGAAAATAGGTGTTTGAGACGGAGTTTGGAAATACAACGGAAATTGGAAAAAAAAAGATTTCGGAAACTTAACGGAGTTTGGAAACGTTGACCTCAAATGTCCTTTTGGAAACATTGACCTCAAAAGTCCTTTTGAAAACATGACCTCAATGCCTTTTGATGGCGTTTTTGGTTGCGTTTGAAAGTGCAGAAAGTAAAACAGCGTCGAAAGGGACTTAAAAGCTTAGTTCGGAGACGTACTTGCAAACATAACGTTGTTTAGAAAAAGTAGCTTTTGGAAACTGAACAGAGTTTGACATTATGACCATTTTCATCAGGGTAGCCATAATTTTTGGACAAAACTGTGAGATAGAACATCGAATAGCTAGATTGGGACCTCTAATGACCCAGAAAATAATTGACTGAACCCTCTTGTTGCCCGATCAGCTTTCAGCAATTAATAAATTTCGAAGAAACTGAGTAAATCCAGGGTTTTTACAAAATCACAAGCCTCTTACAAAATCAGCAAAACTGCAATTGAGATAATACGCGCAGTGTGTCAGTTCAGATACAAGTAATGTTTATGAGAGCAACAAACGGTTGCAAAGCAGCCACGCCACCGGCAGAGCTTTTAGTGTTTTTCTTCCTAGAAACACAATGTGTTCTCGTTATGTTCCGACTTTGCTGGGGGTGTTTTTTGTTCTTTCAATTTTCGTCGACCGAATTAACAGTTTTTGACAAAAAATTATATGCCCTGTTGACGATATCGACTCCTCAAAATCAAATTCAAAAAGATATTTTACCTTCGATCTCTATTTGCAAATTTTTGGGAGTTTGAAAATTGCCAATTTGGCAAAGCTCTGAACTAATTTAAGCGCGGTTTGCAGAATTTATCCATAATCCTGAAAGCAAAACGCGAGTTTTTTTTTATGGGTGGCGAATAATCCAGCACAAAAAAAAAACTTGTTCCAAATTCAATTAATTGGTCGTATTATTTACGTACGACTCAGAGTTTCACCATTGATCTTCGAGTTTGTCCAAAATTTACAGTTTTTCATTAATTTCAATTCCCAAAATTTATTTGATATGGAATAAGGGGCAGTTGGAACATTCAGGGCTTTGCCCTGATATACAATAGTAATGTTATAACTCATTTTTTGTTGTTCTGACTTTTGAAGAATGAGATGAAATAATTGTGTCCGCGTGATTTTTTTTCTCAAGACGACTTACGACTTTTTAACTAGCAAGTTTTGAGCAAATACTTTTGTACCATCGAAGAGTCAATAATTTCTTCAGCTCTAATTTAGAAACAAATTTTTACCTTCATTGTTTTAAAAATATGGATATTTAAAAATGCCATTTTGGCTAATTTGGGACAATTGACCCGCGATTTATTCCGTGCGTTAATTGACAAAGAGAGAGGAGTTTTAATCCGTCATAAAATAGTTTCAAACTGAATTTAGACATGCTATTTGGTTAATTCATTACTTTGCTTTTGGTGAAATTCATCATTTTTAATTTAAAATATCGTGTGGAGTGATAATTTTCAAAAAAAGTTTTTTTTTCTTTTTTCTTAAAACAATTACTACACTATTTTTTGGGTGCCAATTTCGAAATCTTGTTGGTCAGAAACCAACCAGTTGTGATTGGATGCTGATAATTCTCAAATACTTTCAAATTCCCAGACGATCGCCAGCTTAAAATTATAGGTACAAATTAGGAAAATGAAAAAAGCTATTTATTTAGAGAAACCGAGAAGAGTTGTTAGATGTTGTTATCAAGGTTGTTCAGAAGTAACAGTTCGGTAAAAATTAGTTACAACAAAAGCAATGAAATAAAAAAAATGCAATCTATAGAATTTAGTTGAAGCTGCTGATTTCTACTTTCAAAATGATATGGAGTTGGTGTTGAAAAGTACATCAAAACATAATTTGACTTACCAAATCCAATGTTGCTGATGTCAAAATCGACAAAAGAGCAAGTCATTTTTCTGCCTCCTTTTACCATATTAGCTACTTCGATCTCAAACCACCTGAAAAAAATCAAGTTGGAAAAAATTGATCAGAACTTATGAAATGATGCGCGTTCGGATCAAAGTTAATATCGGCTAAAAACTTGGTTCTTGATTGCGAATACTTCAGCCAATCAGAAGCGAATAATTTACACGCAACGGTAAGTAGTTTTTTTTTAAAAAGCTTAGTGAGATGGAGAATTGTATTTTGCTTTGGTTAAGTAGCGAAAAGTAGACACATCGTAAGCAAATCAGAATCGAGAAATGATAATATTTCATACGTTTGTATTCTTATCTCAATTCTGATTGGCTTACGATGTGGCTACTTTTTGCCCGCACTCCATTTTTTTTATTTAATCGGAGAAGGTAAAGTTACGCCCCCGCCCTCAGGGATTCGACCCCCTGCCGACCCAAAGGGTCCCCCCTTTGGTACTTTTTCAGAAATCCATTTTTGGCCGACCGACCCTGAAATTTTTCTAAAGGCGCCTTCGGCGCCAATATATACTAACTTTGAGGGGGAGCGCGTGCCAAAAAAAAACGCGATTTTTTTGTCAAAATTTTTCAAAAAGTGTCCAAAAACGGCTTTTTTGACTGTTTTTTCAAAAATTTGCCTGCGGAAAATTTGCAGAAAATTTAGCCACAATACGGGCAAAACAGTGCTTTGGGAGAGCTGGAAAAATCAATTTGGTCGACCTAAAAAAAAGGTCGTCAAAATTTTCGAAATTTTTTTTTGAAAATCCGCCCACCCTCGAGAAAATCCTAGATCTGCCCCTGATTAACTGCCATAATATTTTTCTGCTCTCATTGATTCGGGTTTTGCTTAAAAATTAGATTGATTGGTTTCATTGAGACGAAAAAACATTTTGTCCGACCTGGATTAATTGGCTTTTAAATATCGACAGAAAAGGAAGTTTTGAAGCTTCGTGGTTGAGATTGAAGAGAAGCAGTCCTTGCTTTTTGTACAAAAATTGGGTTCGAATCTAACAAAATAACCTGCGCCATTGTAGATCTGGTAAAATCCAAGCAAATTTTCTTCTTTAATTTTTGTCTTATTCTAACCCAGTTCGAGAAAAATGCTTTTGAAGTTAGTTTTTGATCAATTAGCTTCAATAATTTTTCCAATGGTGCCTTTGACGTCAATATACACTTATTTGAGCGTGAATAAACCAGCCGAAATGCGCAGAGCATATAAATTTAGCCGTAAAGTTATCAAATCAACTAAGTTTGCATAAATGTTACTTAACTATTACATAATACTTACGCCTGGTTGATAGCTCGGCTGGTTTATATACCACCAGTTATTTTGAGTAGAAAGCGCACGCCAAAAAAAAGGAAATTATCAGTCAAAAATTTCCAATTTCAAAACAGAGTGAAAAGCATTGGAATATAATTTATTTCAGAGCTACCTACCACTCATTAAAATTTTACAAAGGAATTCAAAAATTTTGAAGATGTCACTAAGATTGCAAACCATGTAGAAGAAACAAATTTCTAAAGAATGTGGCACATTTCGCCCTGGATCTACTTAACAATCTCCCCCCCCCCTACTATGGTACCGACTTAAGAACCTCCACCCCTATACATAAACACAGTCAGTGAAAAAAAAACACTGAGCTTTATATTCTGATTGGTCGAAAATCGACCATTTTGATCTACTTAACAATCTCCCCCCCCCCCCTTCTTTGAAAGGGGCGGAGATTATTGAGTAGATCCTTCGCCCCTCTTAAATTTAACACTGGCACAATTAGACCCTTATTTACCACTCATTTGTTACGGCTCTTTGTGTGTAAGATATTAAGGGCGAACTGTGCCACTAAATTTCAGAGGGGGCAAAATGTGTGTAGATCATTTCTAATATATACCTTCCACCGAGTGTCTCTTCGTCTACAAGAGTCGGGACGACACGAGGACAGTAGCCGAATGTTACATTACACCCTGATTGGTCTGCGAAAAGACTTAATAAAGTTAAAAAAAACAGTCGATTACTCATTGATTTGGAAGTGTATGCTGCTTTTATGACAATATGATTGAATTCGATACTGTAATTGTTGAAGTTCATGAAATTTGTTATATTGTAAAGTTGAAGTTCATGAAATTTGTTATATTGTAAAGTTGAAGTTCATGTAAATGTTGATATTACGAAATTGGTATTTGTTTTGAAATTCGACATTTTTCCAAAATAAATTTTAATAAAAATCAATAAAACTTATGCCAAATTCTGGCCGTTTATATTTCTTCTATTCTCAGTCTTTCATTATATATTTTCACCAGCGGTTTTCACCCCCTGCCGACCCAAAAATTACTTGAGATATCCATTTTTGGTGACGGACCCTAAAATTTTTCTAAAGGGGCCTTGGCGCCAATATATACTAATTTTGAGGGGGTAGCGCGCTCTGAGAAAACGCAATTTTTTGGTCAAAATTTTCAAAAATTGCCTAAAAACGTTTTTTTGGCCTGGTTTTTCAAAGTTTTGCAGCGGCGCAGAAAATTTTTTGTCAAAATTGGGGCTTTATAGTGATTTAGGAGAGCTCAGAAAATGCTTTATTCTAAAGCGCTTTGAAATCAATTGTTTTCTCAACGTTTTTGAATGTAAACATCGATTATAATAGAATATTTCGACTCAAATATGGAAATCTTTGTACGGGTTGTAACTCAACCTACCCAAAAAGAATGTTTGCTTGACAAATGTTTGTCTTGATTGTTTTTTCCACAAGTGCTTTTAAAATTTGGGGTTTTTCCAATTATTTTTGATAGGTTTTTGGCTGTGTTGTGATATACAAAAATCTGTAATTCGATCAATCCGAAGTCAACCGTTTTGCCCAGAGGCGGACCTAGAATTAATCGAATAAAGTAAATGCTAGTAATTATCATCAACTGAACAGAGCTAATTTATCATCAAGAGGAAAAAAATAACCATTTCAATCGTTTTTCTGCATTAACTTACCATAAAAAGTAAAATTAAGAAACTCGAATACTAATAAAATTTAGGAAGAGTTGAAACGACAAAAAAAAACATAACAACCAGTCTTCTCATTGTTACCTGGTTAAGCTGGGGAAAAATTTGAAAGCGTTACTTGTTGCAAGATGTTAAGAAAAGTTAAGAGATACACACGATCAATCAAAAAGAAATTGAGAAAGATCGAGACTCAGAAAACGAACAAAAGCGCCAGCAAAGAAGAAGAAAACGAAGTTTAACATTTCAGACTATTCCTTCTGGCGCTAAGCGACCTCTGGGAGATGTATAAGTAACTTTAACATCGGCTCTAAAACTATCCGTATCAAAGCCACTTCTGATTCAAAACTCATTCAAACTCATTTTCGGCGCAATTGAGACGTTACTGTATCGCAAAAAATTTTATATTGCTTTAAAAAGCCAATTTAGTCCTCATTTTGGAGTCTTTTCCTTTCTCTGACGAGGTAGCGGTGTTTGAGAGTTGATCCATGTTTCAAAAATTTTCCAAACACTAACCCCTTATGGAATTAACGGAGCTTGTTTTTAACGGTGATCGCTTATTCAGAGATTTTTATTTGGGGTTGCTGACCAATTTAAGCAAGAATGGGCAAAATTTGGTATTGGCATAAAATCGTTAATTTTTATTATATTCAATATCTTTGAACCACATTTAGATTGGCTCCGAATGGAGCGACCATAAAAGCACACTGTTCCTGTCCATGAGTCGATGACTATAGAATCTAATTTTCACCTCTTACCGTGTGGCAGTTCAACGACAGTTAGAGAGTCAGTCATTTTATTGTTCGGCGTTTTTATTGCAACGTTTCGAATCATCATGTGGCTTGCTTGATTACTTAGTCTGATTAAGTTACACTTACAGAAACGTTTTGTGACTTTCGACAGGCAAAAAACTACGAAACTTTTTTGAGTAATTTTGGAAAAAAAAATTTAATTGAAGGCATCAAGCAAAACCAATCTGTTTTGGTAAAATTAAAAGAATTGTTAGTCTTCTCCATGAAAAAATTGACCACCAGTTTCTGGTTTTCCGATCAAGTCCACAAATCCATGCTTTTTCCGGAAAAATTCTGTTTGTTTAAACCAAGTGTACGTAAAAAAAATGTCCAGGGTTGTTTAATGGAACCTCATGCATTCAGTTTTTCAAACTAATTGTATGGTACTTCCGGAAAAGCTATTCTACAGACACTGAATCTCAACTTGGTGATCGCGTGAAATTTGCAAAAAGACATAAAATTACCTTATAAGGATCAGTGTTTTGATCTCAGCGCTGTAGTCTGTTAGCCTTAAAAAATCTCATGGATTTTTGCTTAACTTTAGCAACCTTGTGACGTAGTAACTCTCACACTGCCTCAGACAACAATTTTCCGGATTCATAAAAAATTATGGATTCAAAAAAGGGATTGAAAAACATTATCTAAGTTTTGCGCGGCTCTATCATTGTGAAAAGTACCAAGGTCTATGTCAAGACGAAGCAGGTGATACAATTTTGAGAGGATCGAAGTTCCTGTTCCCCAAATCTGCTCTTAAAATTACAACCTTTGAGAAAAAGTAAGCGGCTGTAAAGAGTGTTGAAGTGCCTAAATCTCCGCCCCTCAATCAAAAAAAGGTCACTTGTTGTGAGCCCACTTTGATCCGTGGTCTTTCCATCAGTCACTAAGAAATCAGAAAGCCGGTAAAAGCTATCCAGTCCGGAAATTTCAGCGAACATTAGCGTGTATCTCTAAACCAGAGCATAACAGCAACTCTCCGTGATGAGCAACGCAGCTTATAAGTTGTTTCTTTCCTTCGTGGTTATTTGGTCATAATAAGAGTCAAAATACGAATAGCTTTTCTTTATCAATGCTGTCCAAACTAAGTTCAACAGCCTGCTTCTCGAAAACTCCACTCTACGAAAAGAGGAGGCTTTGTGAACTCTGTTTTTGCTTGTAAGGGCAAACAAGTACTGAAGTGTCACAAACTTCTGGTTTGGCTCAAATGCTGCCAAACGAAAACGACTCAAATGCTGCGAAAAAAATTTAGTCACTCATTTTATAAGTGAGAATGTTTTTTTTGAACCAAACTGCAGTCAACAAAAAGTACCATTCGGATAGAGTTTTGTTTTTAGCAACTTATTTACATATTTTAGAAGTGAAAACCTTTTCACAGACAAAAGGTTATTTTCTAATGAGGTTTGAACCATCAGAAAAGCCTAAACCATTTTTCAAGATCTTCGATTAGTTCTTTTAATTTCATTCAATCGTCCAAATGTCTGCAACATTTTGTAGCATTAAAATACGCGCAGATTGATTATATCACAACATTACGCGGCCAAACTGTGCAATTTGTGAATTGTAAGCGGATTCCGCAATAAGGACGCTCCCTTTGTTCTTCTTTTGTTCTGTCATTCCCTTTGATTGTTCAGACAAACATTTATCCTAATTAAAGATTTGTCTATGGAATCCAGGAGCATACAGACACAAAATTGTGCGCCTATCCAGTGCACAATTTTTCCCATTAGTGAAATTTTCTCGATTTAGCAGACAATCACAAGAAATAAGAATCTTTGTGATTAGCTTTTACGTCAAAAGGAATGCCCAACCAAACCTTGAGCACAGGCATTCAGCTCAAAAAGAAAAAATGAATATGATCACCCGCATTGGAGTTCCATGAATGAAAATCGATTATAACTGAGTTTCCTTGTCAGTGTCCACAAAAGTGAAAACAAATCGATTATAAACTTTTGTTGACACTGACAATGAAACTAAATTATAATCGATATTTTTTCCACTTTACTGAGATGAGATGCGAACTTCAACCCACATGAAGTCTTTTCTATGTTTTAAACTAACGTTGGTTAATTTAATTTTTTTCTTTTTTCTGCCTAGCTTTGATATTTTTGTTACTTTTTCATGTTACTCAAAAACTGAATTTTGTTCCTTTCAACAATTTTGTTAAGTTATTAGCAACTTTGGGGGGGGGGGTAAAATTGGAGGTGCCCTGATCCCCCTTCCATTACCCCCCCCCCACTGTTTGCCCATTTACAACAACCCCGGGTGGTGGGTGTTCAGTGGGAGAGGGGGGTGGGGGTTCAGGTGGTGGGGGGTTGTTCAGGTTGGGGAAGAGGGGTTGTTCAGGTTGGGGGATTCAGTGGGGGGCTGTGGGTTCAGGAGAGGGCTTCACAGAAACTTCTTGCAATTTGAGTTTAGTTTTAGAAATGTTTTAGGCCGCACATTTGCTTTGCACTGTTTCAGCATGACTCACTTGATAAATGCAGAAATTCGCGAAACAAAAATAAAGTGGAAAAAAATCTATTTGAATGTGATTCACGACTTTTTATAAAATCCATTATAATGGATTCCGAAAATTTTATAAGGCATTTCGTTTTGGCAAGAAAATGGATTTAAATCCATTTTCAGTCCAATTTTGTCTGAATGTAACATGGGAATCGATTTTTTTTTAAATATTTAAGACCACGAAAATTCATTATAATCGATTTGTTTTCTCTTTTCTTAAATGCGGGCATCAACAGCTGAAAAAACTATTATCTTTTAATGTCGTGTGAAGCGTCAAAATTGCAATAAATTTTTTTCAAGATCTTAATCAGTTCTGAATTTAAGCAGTACTTCACGTGAAATTCTCCAACTTCCACGAGCTTTTGTATCATTAAACTCTGCTCAGATAAATAAAACTTTATCCTTTTTCAACAAAAATAAACTCCGACCGTGGACCTTCTAGATGGCGATTAGGTCAATTGGAATGCCTGATCAAATCTTGAGCACGGTCAATCAGCTTAAAATGGAAAAAAAATCAACCAAAAAACTCAAACCCGCGTTGACCTTCACAAAAAGTTATTATAAAACGAACTCAATAATGGAGTCTGCAGCAAAATGTATATCATACAATTTCCATTTGTAAAAATTTGTACCGTAAAAATATTTACTTCAAGCTGAATTTCTGAAATTCATTAGACTTTTAGCGTAATTATGAATTCATACAACTTTTTGTTGTAAGAAATTGTGATATTTGATACTTTTTTGATACTTTGATAATCCATACTTTGTGATAATTGATACCTTATCACAGTGTGCAGTTTTATGCATTTTTTTTTTTTTCATTTCTGTAGTTCGATTGACAA